TTAATGGTCTTCCCGTGCAAGACCCGCACCTTTGAGTCAACTAACGTCAATGACCGGGTAACGTGTGGAATATTTATGAGAGATATTTGGTGAAAAAGTTGAATTAATGTTTTAAAATAAAGTAAAAGTAAAAACTAATTTCAGATGAGTGTTTATTTATTTTTATTTTTTAAAAATTTTAAAAATAATTTTAAAATTATATCACTTTAATAAATACCTATTAAAAAATTATAATATCTTACTTTTAAAGTATGATTAGAATGCTTTTAATTTTTTTTATATTTTATTAAAATGATATAATTTTTAAAAAAATTATAATTTTTTTAAAAAAGTAAATAAATACTAATTTTAATTAATTTTATATAGTTTATAGAGATAATTTTATAATTTCTATGTTATACTAATAGTGATTGCCTTTTTAAGAAGACAGCATACTTGATAAATCATTGATGTAAATATTTCATAAATTCATATTAGTATAAATTGATCCCGCTTCAAGTATAATTAGTAGTTAATATTCAATGGGTATATATAGTTTTGCTTTAGAAAATTAAAATTTAAAATATTAGAGTATTAGTAAAATTATTTAAATATTTTTAATAATTTTTTTAGTATATTAATTTATTAAAGGTATTTAAGTCTTTTTAATTATCAATTTTAATATTTAAATTGTTAAAATATCTTAATTTTCTATAATCTCTCATTTTTTATAATGTAAATATATTTATTCTTTTGATTAGTTTAAATTTCAAACTACAAACTACTAACCATAAACTTCTATATACTGAACACATCCTTAAAACTTAAGAATAACTATTGTTTTTTTATTTTTCCTTGGACATTTATGTTAGTTGAATTATAAAAATTTTAGTTAAAATAAAAAGAAATTATGAGTAGTGGTAAATTAATACTATCTATTTTTATTAATTATGAGTATTTTTATACATAGATCGAATATGATCTATATTTATTATTTAATTTAAAAGTTTTTAAATATAATGCCACGAATAGGTATTAAGTAGTATTAATAATTAAAAGAAAAGACTCGAGTAAACGACTATCCTCTCTTTTTGCTTTTTGAAATCTTGATGAGTCGAGTTATTTTACCAAAACTTGGAAGTCTTTTTGGTCTTAAGTCAACTTAATTAATTAGTGCCAAGCGTTCTGGGTTGTGAATCACGCACGCACTGGGGTTGGTTAATTAATTTTATTTCTCTCTTTCACAACTCTTTTGCCCCACCATAATACTGCAGCTTTAACCACAATAGAGTAGTTCGGTGGTTAAAAATTTAAAATTTAAAATTATACATCTTAAGATTGAGTCTTAAATAATTAAAAATAGGAAAAAATTATCCTTTTTTGAATAATTTATAATCAAATGTAAAAAACAAATAATAATAATACGGTAGCCTTTATAATTCCTATGCTATTGTTTTGAACAAAGGCAATTACAAGGCATGAGGGAAGGGAATGGGCCTAAGCCATGTGCTGTGAGAAGCACCTATAGCTCAATAGGTCAAATGCAAATATTCAAGTAGTTAGTGTATAATTATGCATCAATATAATCAATAATAATAGGAAAATATTCCAGATATGCATTTTTGCTAATGATATATTTACAAACAGCCTCAAAAAAGAAGAACATGCTCTGCACTTCTGCAGAGTGCCTAGAAGAATAGTTTATTTTAACTCCAGTTTAGACAGATTTATTCCGCTTGGAATATCAGTGATCATAATTAGAAACTAATGGAACTATAGACCTTATGACCTGATGCAGCACAAGTAAAGAACAAATAGATTGAGAGTAATAGAAGAAGATGTATAAAAAGAGATTAAAAAAAAAAGAAAAGGAAGAACTAGAAAGAACAACTAGATATTGAAGTTTCCCACTAAGAAAGTTCATCACAGTAAAACATGCATCTACATCAATCCCACCAAATGTCATTTATTGGAAAATAATGACAACATTTACAAATTTGGCTAAAAAAATGATGACAACGTTTACAAGGTCATGTACAAAATGTTTGTTCTAAGAGAATATGGAGGCCACACTAGGATTCTTATCTTCAAAGCATTAACGAAAGGAAGAAAAAAAAAATCTACTCAAACTCCATATGGCTTTTATCAAGTTATCATGCTAAGGAAGCCAAAGTGACATGACTACTCCTATCTCTGCATATTGTAAAAGTTATTAGAAAGTAGGGTCAATAGTGTCTCACTCTCACACGTGAAACATGCATGTTTAGCTTTTAACCAACATGAGGGAATAATGCTTTCACTTATATGGGTCCTGGATTTTTTTCATCTCAACTCGTGTTAATTTTAATTACTTAATTATGTCATCAAGGTCTGTAAGGTTTTATACGTACTGAGAGATTAATATTGGGGGTTCTTGTTATAAATTTTCGTTTAATTTATAGCCTAAAAAATTATTTTCTTCATTTCCATAAAAAAATATATTTTTTCTTCATTTTCAATAATTTTTATTTTGTTGGGTTCTGAACTCTATATGGTAACCATTTTTCGGGCCGAACCGCCAATGCGTCTCTTCTTAGTTGCTTTAGCAACCCAATTCAGTTTCTTCTACGTGGCCCGACTAGTATCTTTTTTATTTTGGGCCAATTCTGGCCCATATTTAAGTACACACGTTTTGCAATTTGCACTAAGGCTCCGTTTTAGATAAATGGCGGGACAGCCGAGTTTCGCGGCACATTTTTCGCGCTAAAACCACATTCCTCTTCTCCATTTTTGTTTTTTTTCTTCTTTATTACACTCCTTATAATGCTCAATTGAGGCTCTCTCTCATCTTTTTTTTTTTAACAATTTTGACATTATTTACGGTATATATAAAGGAAGGGAGAAATGAGTTCCATGAAACTCAAACAAAATCAACCATGATGGTAAACAGTCCTAACTCAAACTTCAATATCATTGGTACAAAGCGGCCCATTCGCTATATTTATATATGATAAAAACCGTCCCCTGTTTCCTGCCAAAGACATAAAAGACTTCTACAGTTCTACCTCACCCACTGCCCTAACATCTTCCCCCAATCTACGTAACAATGTTCTAAATTTCATTGACTTAATATATATTTATATATGGCTTTTAATTAATTATATAAGCTAACAATGATTTTTTTTTCCTTTACTACAACAGTCATCCATTACTTGGTCAAGCAGAA